ATGGTGGTGAAATATCCTGGCATTCAATAAACTTAAAAACTAAACTGTACCTATAGAGTAACAAACTGGTGTTAGACACTCGACGTCCAGGCGACTATTTTTCGTGTGATGAGTGCAGAAACCTACTATACTGCTACACTTCTTCCAAGAATCTTAGCACCCTCCTGGGTTTCGCTGAAGACACTCTAAGGTACACACCCTGTAGTTGGTACGCTGGAGCATTGCAGTAGGATGTGAGTGGCCGTTAACTTCCCCTCGCTCTGCATAGAGGGCTTTCCGTGATAGCTAGACTGAAAAGATGTTTCTTATGTGAACCATGACCCGTTAGAGCGGCAGTTAAGAGTGCGCAGCTCTTTCCTTCTGAGTTTAAGAATTTTATGAGATTGCCTGGCGTTGAGCACGAGGAGTGTTTCCCTAGTTTGTTTACAAACGGTAAGGGTTATGAAGTTTTTGTACCTTTGTGTATATTTGCTCTTGACCGTTGGTAGGGGAGAAATAATGTAGGTCGTAAGCTCTGGTACTCGAAATACAGGTAAGTAATAACTATGCAACAAATAAATTATTGTATCCGAAAGTTAGGAGTTGAGGAAACGTTCCATGACAAGTCGTATGAAGCAATCAACAGTTCGTGGAATACGTTTAGAGAGGGACTTAGGGAAAACTACAAAGGAGTAAAAGGGTACCCTTAGATCCTGTTGATATATTTAGAGGACGGCTGGGGCGTTTGAAGAGAGACTGTTTAAGCGTTCTTTGATGTTAAAGTAAGTACTATATTTAAATCCATTCCTCTTTACAACCACATAAACCAATTCTGTATGTATGTTCCACTCTGACATGGGGAAATACAAAGGACACTTATTTTATTAAAGCAATAAAAAAGAAAATGCATCATAGTTTTGGCCTTGGTAATCGTGTAAGTTTTTAATGTCAAACTCTTGTCAAACTGCTGACTGATAAGCTGATTTACTTTTTTTTAGAAACTAATTTGTAAACTCTTCTACAACGAGACCTTCAGAATAGAAATGTGAGGAGTTGAAACAAGTTAGTTTATAACAGTAGTATCAAATTCAGTTATTAACAGGAACAATGTGGGGGTAATATGTATGAAAATAAACAATGCTTTACATCAGATACAAAAGTGTAGATATAATAATCTCTAACATCTATCAACTAATTTTTAGTTCAATCGCACTCAGCTGGATGGCGTTAGTTATATTTTGAAACAAGCTAGTGTTTTGATGCTTTCGTAGCATAGGTAAATCCATTATGCAAGCATCATTAGTATTCAATACCTAGTATATGGGCTTAATCTTTGATTATAATACTCTAGCATTACTATTCTATTTGTCATTGTAATTTTTATTAAATCAACTTTTTATTTATTTCTATTTTATTTATATTTATTTATATATCAAGTAAAAGGAAGAACAGGTAGGTTGTCAGCTACATGCCTATCCGTAATAGTTGCAGTGCCACTCAGAGCTTTAAATCGTGAAGACCTTACGGGCACTGCTACTGCGCCCGACACCCTGAGACATAAGTTGCCAAGTTCCACGTGCCTGTAATTTCGCCAGCACCCTCACTCTTCAAAACCGGAACACAGTAATGCTGACATTACTGCTTGGCGGCAGAATTAGTTAAGATGGCAATACTTCCCTGGACGAACTCTTTCACAAGGAGCTCTACTGCTACCTTTGGTGGACTGCAGCAAAATTTAGCAACCAAGGCCGTTCGTACTACATTAGCTTATACTACATCACACATATAATATACTAGTATTACTATTCTGTTTGTAATTGCAATTTATACGCAAGAAAGAATATTTCATTGTATCAACATAAATCACCTCACGTGATAATATTCAAAAATTCGTTCTTAAGAAAAAATCCTTCCAACTTACAAGACTCGGAACGTGCGTCTGCATGCCAATGTGGCCCTAGCTAGGTATAACTTGAATAGGTATTATTTATGTATGCATACTCCATCGCCACGGTGCTTTTTAATATTATAACAGAATAATTTCACGAAATAAATAAATAAATATTGAATTGTGATAGTAATAAAACATTTTGTACTTAAAAGTTTACTCGCATACATTAATATCCCCACACCAGGAACCCTGTGTCACAGATGCCATGGACACAACAACTAATCACACCCAAACTCATGAGAGAAATAAATGTAGGCCATATTTGTATGGCCTTGTATCTATTCTATCTCCCGGCCCGGGAATCTAATCCAACCTAACCCGGGACCTCTGCGTGGCAAACCAGCATGGTATAATGCTAACACAACTCAATTTGTTAAGTTTTCACGCCTAAACCGCTGAACCAATATTGATGAATTTTGGTATAGAGATAGATGGGACTTAGGAGAAGGACATAAGCCATTTTTTGTCAGAAATAAAATCTCAAAGGGGGTTTGTATGGATTCTATGGAGAATTAATAAAACTATGAAAATTAGTATATTACAGTAGACTACTCAAAGTACTATTATCAAGTAGTTATAAACACGCGCGTAAAAATTTTGATCTATTCGACTTTTTAACAAAAACGAATTATATTATAATATTGAAGTAGTCGCACATCTTTCGCGTCACATAACTCACACTTTGCTATTTGGTCATTATTATTTTGCACTTACCGTAAACTGTATGAAAGAAAAATCACAATTTTAAAGCTCTATAAACGCTTCTTTTTGCCTTTTTATATCTTTTCTTCTATTAGGTTTTATTGTGAGAATTTTTTCGATAACTCGTTCCGTTCAGGTGTTTTTTATTGGAATTCTAACAGGGAACTCGTTCAGTCGCGGATAATTGCATTACTCGGAAATTATCTCTGTTTGTTCATAATTTACCGTTCCGGCTTAGTTTATTTTGGGAGTAAATATCAATTTATCATTCCTACGAGGCCTATTAATAAACAATTTTGATATAAATCCTTACTTCATCAAACGAAATACAAATACGATCCATTTATAATATTGAAACGTTACGACCAAACCTAATTACTCTAAGTGCGACCAAATGATGAATGACCAAAAACAACCGTCTAGTAAACGCTCTTTTTAACCGACATTAAAAAAAATATTTTTTTTGTACGTATGTCCGTTATTTGTGAACCGATTTTCATAATTTTTTCTTGTTGGAAAGACTTTCAGAGAGTCCCATTTCATTTTGGAGAAAATCATCCACCTCTAAGGGTGGCTGATCACGCATGAACATTAATTTTTATAAATAGCGCCTAAATTTTACTTAAGGAGCAATTATTTTAATGGTTGGTTTTGCTATTCTCCAATTCAAGGCGTTTTTCTCTCTCAATATACTTTGAGTAGTGAGAACCGATTTTTTTATCTCCTGTGTCAAGTCCTGTATAGTGGCGAACTAGGGGATATTTCAATAAAACTTGGCAAATAGATGTAATTCCACGTACTTTTGTCGGTTTTTTTAGTACTCTGTACTAATTTTAGTCTAAATCATAGTTTCCCATATTGGTCCCCACATATATGAAGAGTCCTCTCTTCAGCGCTCACTGGGTGACGTTAGCCGTTAATGCTATCCAGGGGATGCTACCGCATTTGAAAAAATAAACTCGGAATAATCTATACAAACTACACTATATATAAATACAATTTTTTTCTTTGCAATTTTTTGTGTTAAGTTAATATAAAAAACACATGTTTTCAATTGTTTCTTGTGGCTGTGGGCGTTGTATATTTTTTATCTTGTCTAAGTGGGCAGTCAGACGAAATGTATGGGTACCTAAATCAATATTATACTCAATTAAAATAAACTAACACAAATTATATATTAGGTACAAAATATTATTTACAGTCAAGGAATAAAATCAATTAACACATTTTAATTACAAATCAATTTAATTTATGTCTCAGTCATGTTCCAGCGAATTTGAATTTAATTCTCTGCAAACATCAGATACCGTAATGATGAATGAAATTTGAATTCCCGACAATAAAACCGTTTAATTATTGGTTTAAATTGATAGATAATGAAATATTGGCGTATCTGAAATGTATTTTTGCTACCTGATGTATTTGTAAATGTATTTTACTTATTGTATTCGTATATATGGAAATCATATAGCGTAAATCGTTTGATGCGAGAAATCAATATTGCAATACCAGAATGTAGTGTCAAAGCTTTTTCTAAAACAAAAAAGCAGTGCTGATAAAAGTCATAACGCATGACAACATAATATCGAGTTATTACGTCTCGAAGGGTCGTATTCCAGAACTCTACTCAATACTCAAGTCAGGACTTGAGTCAATACTCAATTAGTGAGCACTGAAAATCATACTCAAGTCCTTGCCATTAGGGTCGTATTTCCAGTGCTTGAAATCATACTCAAGTCTGCTCAAGTCCTGACTTGAGCATTGAGTAGAGTTCTGGAATACGACCCTGAAAGACTCTTCTATACCGGAGGGCGAGTGTAAAGGTGGTTAAAGATTTCGGATTCTTATTTTTATAGAATGCTTTTTGCTCTTGTGTAAGTATTGTTTAGTTTTTGCTTATTGCTATCAAAACAAAATATGTTTTAGGACGATGGGATAGATTGATAAACCGAAAATATTCCAAATTAATATCTACTAGAATTTATTCTTGTTGTTGTCATATCGATGTGGTGAAAGGGTTTGTCAATTGGCGTAAGGTACTAACCGATTGTTGCCCAGGGTGAGCCAGACGTATTGGACAGAAACCTTTAAGAATTCATTCAAGTTATACTATACAAATTTAATATAAATACTACAGACTTTCTTAATTATTGCACTGTGTTTATTGAAAATCACTTTCTGTGCAAAATCCCAAACTGTCCTAAATTTTATAGAAATTTATGGTCACCTTAACACTAATGGAGATCTCAAACACTATAGCGCATTTCCAGATAAAATCCATTCGTCGGTCACATTCGAGTGAAGACAGTCAATCGGTGAAAATATACAGCACGTTAGAAATAGTTAGTGTTATAATTTAGTGTCAATTCAGTGCAAATCAGTGTTTGTTAGGGCAAACCAGTGTAAAATTTAATGGCATTAAACAATAAGTAAGTTTAAAATTTTGGAGTTTTTAAAATCTTCGTTTTTGTCGTATGTGTTTTATTGCTTACTACATACAATCAAGCGTCTATGCTACATTCTTCAATGTATTGAACAAATCGCAATCACGACCGCATACCACTGACGAATTATAATATGTCGAGCCGGTTCCATCATATTCAAAGGAATGGAGAAGGAAAAAAAACTTAAAAGCATTTCATCTTGAGATTTTTTTTAAATACGCTGCTCTTCACAGCTAAGACAGAGCAGCGTTTTACTTGGCGGATATCCGGAACAGCGCGTATTAGTTCAAGGAAGTTCGCGGTCTTATTTCTGGCATTGGTTTTTTAAAAGGCAGTCAGCGAGGTTTTTCCCTCAATCTCCGGCTGTTTGTAGGTGGAGAAAGTTAAGTAACACCGCTCTAGTTTAATACGTGAGACTGCAGAATCCATGTATTATATACATAAGAACTTATAAATAGGAGGAATATTTTGATAACCCACATCAGTGTTATTATACCGTAACATTTCAAGTACCATTAAGTGCCCTTTTGACATTATTTCACTTCAAACAATGTGCATTGGATTTTAATGTATTGTAATATTAAACATTACATACAATAATACTTGATTAAATGCATGACATAATTCATAATATCATATATTATATTAAATTCCACAATATTTCCAATACATGCACTTGGTATTGTAAAGTATATAAGGATGTAATGGATTTCGCCTAAAGGTATACAGAGTGAATATTTTCTTTGTTTAACATTGTGCCTTATTGGAATAATTTTTTTGAATATTTAATTTAAAATAAATAAGCATTACACAAATCCCATACGTTGCTATGATCCCAAAGTAAGTAACTAAAGCAATTGTGCTAAGGAAATCGGAAACAATGACAGTACTACAAACACCCAGATCCGAGACAATGTAGGGATATAATTATGACTGAGATTTTATTGTCTAAAGAACAAACGAAAGGCGTAGCCCAATCTGTAACATAATTCTATACTTTAAGAAATGAAACTATTTTCCCGGATTTAAATCGCGTATATTTGTTTTTTCAAACAAACCGACGTTTCGGGCCCTTTACAGGTCCCATGTTCACGGTTGAATGAGGTGGTACAGTCATTAACCAGTTAATAATAATAATAATAATAACGCACACACTCAACATAGCCCCGCACTAGGGAAATCCTGTGTCGCGGGTACCATGGACACACACATAGACAACCACAAATTACACCCATTACAAATATTTCTCCAGGCCCGGGAATCGAACCCGGGGACCTCTGCGTGGCAGTCCGGTATGGTAACCATTCGGCCACGGAGGTAGTTAAAGTTAAGTTAAGTTATGTCTAATATTAGTGCAAACCACCCAATTTTTTCAACTTAGTTACAAAAGTTGTTAATTAAATACCTTTTTTTTTATTTTAACCAAAAGACACCAAAAGTTTTCATTTTACAAGTAAATTTTAGAACAAACAACGAAAAAATTCTTTAGGTGCTATTTTCTCAAAACTATGACCATATTGGTTAACACGTTATTACTTATCAGCATCCATCTCAGAATTTTTGTATAGTATTTTGTTCTACATACTTGATGTATAACTAGCAATTACTTTACTACGGTAGTGTGTTTATAAAGTTTTGTATTTGTAGTTAAAAATATAATAGTAATGTTTTGATTTTTTCGTCTATTTAATCATTCCGGGGTTTCAGAGACTTGGTTTGATCCGATCTATGTATATTACTTCAAGTATGGGTAAATATACTTACTTTTTGAAATTTCAGAAAAACACATTAAAATATAATAGGATTAGAGTGGTCTTGTCAATTTATAAATTCTCCAAAATTCATTCACTTCACCCTGGAACGTGAAGTTGGCAAGTTCCATGTGCCTATACTTTGCCATACCAGCACATTACGTTTCATAACCGCAATACAATGATGCTCACGTTACTGCTTGGTGGCAAAAACAGGTACAGCTGCAGGACAAATTCCTTTACAAGGAGCTCTACTGCTACTAAAATATCACATAGAAAATGAAGTGGGAAAACGGGATTAAAATTAGTTGAAAAATAGTTACAGGTATTTAGATACCAGAAGGGCTAGCACGACAGAGGGCGATAATAATGCAACATACTCATATACCCGCACTAGGGTAAGCCTGTATCGCGAGTGCCATGGACACACACATAGACAACCACAAATCACATACAAACTCACGAGAGAAATAAATGTAGGCCATAAACATATTTCTCCCGGTCTGGGAATCGAACTCAGGACCTCTGCGCGGCAGTCCAGCATGATAACCGTTCGATCACGAAGGCAGTTGAAATTAAAATATTATTACTAGTTAGTAGTAGGTACTGCAGTCTGGATACTGGAGCCCAAACTCGTTGTATGTAAAAACCATCTTTTCTGTTGAAATTAGGATACTTTTTAATTTCAATGGTTCTCGCAGCATTCCAGGCAGAAAACGGACTCCTTTGTCGACAGTTTGTCAAAGTTAATTGAATGTATAGGTTTATCTATAACATGTTCGCAGACTGCAGACTTTTTACAAGACGATAGTGCTTGACATCAGCTATATATGTATTCTTTGGCGCGAGAAGAAAAATGCTTTACTGTATCTGTCCAATGTAATACCGAACTCACAGTAAAAAACTGATGTATGCCCGTGATGACCCTTAATGGTTAAAACATACTAAAGATATATCAAAAATTTTCGGATTCATTTTCAGCATATTCATTACAGTTGATAGAAGCGCTATAAATATTTTTGAGTTATATAAGTACCCTACAATGCGAACAATATTTCCCTTGTCTGTGACTAATTTGAAGTTAATTTCATTTTCAGCGATTACAAGAACAAAGAAAATGCATCGTGTCAGGCGCATTCAACGCTCACATTGGACATGGACAATAAGGTTGAAAACTACAATCCTTTAATTCATAGGAAAGTGGCGCATCCCACATCGTAAGTAAACGTTTCTTAGGGTCGTATTCTAGAACTCTACTCAATGCTCCAGTCGGGATTGCACTGGAAACACAAGCATTGGAAATACGACCCTAATTGCAAGGACTTGTGTATGATTTTCAGTGCTCACTGCAATACTCAAGTCCTGACTTGAGTATTGAATAGAGTTCTGAAATACGACCCTTAATTAATAACGCTCACAATAATAACGCTCACAATCAACATAGCCCCGCACTAGGGAAACCCTGTGTCGCGGGTGCCATGGACACACACACACAAATTACAAATTACACCCAAACACACGAGAGAAATAAATGTAGGCCATACAAATATTTCTCCCGGCCCGGGAATCGAACCTGGGACCTCTGCGTGGCAGTCCGGCATGGTAACCGTTCGACCACGGAGGCAGTTGAATTGTCTCCTATCTCCTTCCCTTCGAGTATATACCCAGAAATAGAGACGTAATAAGGTCCATCCATCCCTGGCAACTCATCAGGCAAATGGGCTTTATACCACTTTTAAATATCAACTCTCGTTTGCGCTGAAATCACAAATTAGAAAGCTGAAATAGTACAGCACCAACAACTGACATGTGTGTACGTCTCCGTATATTAAAAAAATATTCTATAATTATTGTTATAAAGATAATATCTCTAACTATGGGGAGCTGTTCCATTCGGTGGTGTGGGAAAAACAGCAAAACATCTAATTATAAAACAAACGGAATCAAATTTCATTGGTAATTAAATATTAAATGTGTAATTTTCAATTTTCGTCCATTATAGCAAAGCTCACGTTAAACTGGTCGTTTCAAGTGTAACAACTAACGACACTCGTCAATTGTTTCGAATTCGCCTTAAATACACAAAAAGGCCTAAAAAGGCCATAAAAATAAGGAACAAAAAACAACACGAAACTAAAATAAAGGAGAGAAAATAAACAAGAAAAACAAACGCATTAAAAGAAAAGCAAAACAAAAAGAAAGAAGATAGGAAACGAGAAATAGACACAACACAAACAACGTCAAACCAGACATGACACGAATTAAGTTTGTTGCGAGCCGAAGTTGCAAAAAAAATCAATTTATTTTACTAATTAATTTAATACAAATTACAATCTAAATGTACAATATAAAAGTAGACAATAAGTAATCGAAGTTGGATTACGAATGCCGCGATATTCGATGCTCCGGGCAGCCGTCTCCACTTTTGACGTCAACGCGATCACGTTGTCTTCAAAGTACAGGGCTGACGCTGCACCCCGTGCAGCGAGCTAGCGCCTCGTGCAATGCACTATTGTTTTCAGGTCGCCGCTTATTCAGCGATTCCCCTACGTTCGCCTTGCGTAACACCTCCCCTCTCAGAACAGCGATTATTGACGACGTTAATCGTGATTTGAGCTAGGGGTTGATTAGGGTTAACCCTTCTGGGTTCTGGAAGAGCGTAGACATGTTGCTCTTCTTCATTGTATTGTTCCGGTGAAGTCTTCAATTGTTTCAAATAGTACTTGCGGTAACATATGCCACTAACGAGTGCACATGCACTTAACATGATCACGTACAATGGGATAGTGGTGTGATAGAGGCTGTAATCATAGTCATCTTTAAGTTTCACTGGCTGCTGTTGAGAGTTGAGACTTTAGGGAGATTTTCCAAATTTACGGAATGCAACTTGAATGCTGGTATAGAAGATGAGATGATAGGAGTGTCGTTAGGTAAGTCCATTATTTTTAGTCCTTTCCCTCTCAAGCGATCGTTGGCGTTGGATACTGTAAAGTGCGGCGTTTCTAGATAGCATTGGTGCGGGATTATGGCAAGATAACTTCCTTGTAGAGATTTGTACAAATGTTGTCCGCAGGAAAGATGAACTTTTGTTGGAGCAGGAAAGCTGATGGTGTAATGCTTCTCGTCGAGTTTTTCGAACGCTGGTTTGTATAACGTAACTGACACAGAGCTGCAATTGGTGTTCTGTTGCTGTATTATGAGCTGCTGGAAACAGTCCTCTGATGTTCGGCTTGGCAGGTTATATGTCTCCTCGCATAAGTACCATTTGCTGGTCTTCGGGCATTCAGCCTCTATGTATCTGAAGTCTTTCTGATAAAGGGCTAGGAATGGATAAGGAGGAGAAAAAAATTTATGATGCTTATTAGGTACGATAGATAGCTTATATATATTACAGGTGAAAGGTATTACGATAAGAAATTTATAAACTACAACTATCTCATTACCTAAATAGTAAGATTCTAACCTAATTATGTCGCAGTATTCTCTAATATCTAAATCTACTACTCTTTCTCTGCCATATAGTTTGCTCAACTTGCTTATGATAGCGCGTACCGCATACAAATTTAACACCGAATGATACATCGTGGAATTCCTTATGAAAGCAAGAACATTCTGTAGTTTTACTAGTTCTTGCGAAACTGAATCTACGTTGTCACCTAGTATAATTAGGACTTGAGTGAGATGCGCATATTTAACTAAATCGTAATCTCGAGTAGCTTATAAAATCATGATTTTATTTTGATTATCTACTATGCTATCAATTACATTATAATATTGAGATGTCCAATTTTTAGATAGGCTAACGTGACTATTGAACTCGTTAACCAAATTATCTTGATTATCTTGAAGAGATTAAGGGCTCGATTGTAGTGTATTGCATCAGTGTAATCAAGGTTTCCTGTAACGCTCTTTCTTATGGAACCAAGACCATCTACCAATCCTCTTTTAACACGGGTTGACTCAAATGTCTCTAATTTATTTAAAACATTATCAAGCTTATTTCTAAGGTAACTTAAGTGTAGTTAAAATAAAGAATTAGTTTTATTATGTAGTTAGGTACTAACGCTATTTAACTGAATGTTAACAGAATTAATTTGATCTCTCACGTTTCGAGGATTAATATATTGCAGAAAGGAATGATAATGAGATATTACTCTCGCGGGTCCTAATTTAAAGGGTAAAATACCCCGCCCGTCGTTGAGACTTTCAAGTATTATCTCCTGCATTAGTCCTGTTTGCAGGAGGAGATGGAGGATCAGCAAAGTCCTGTAACAATTGAGCTGTTGTAGGGACTCTGTTAAGCCTAGTTTTGGCAATTGATCGTCGCTTATTCTTGGTGTAAATATGAATAGGGAGGTCAGCCATTACTATATCGTGTGTGTACCGCGGTGCTAATTTATGACGCGAAGCAAACGGATTTTTGACAAAAATCTGTTGTTCAGGAGAATATTCAATTTCGGGCTCCCGGTCTTTATTTCGAATGTTAGTGAGTTTTTCACGCGTCATTAGTGAGGTTATGTATGGTGTTGTACACTAAAGTCATTATATCTTTGTAGTTAACCATATGTTGTTGTAGTTATTGCGATGAAACATTCATGTTAAAGGGATCACGGGGATCAAAATGGCCGGTTATCACCTCTATAGGCTTATTATGATTATTATTTATTTATTAGATTTGCCAACAGAAATACACTATTGTACATGAACAAACAATAACATTACATAAAATACTCGAGTGTAAACCCAATATGAGGCAAATACAGCATGCACATACCAGAGGCTCGTGTCAAAAGCTTTTTTTGTATGTTACATTACAGACAAATAGATGGATAAAACAAAACCAATAAGTAAACATGCTAAATTAAACTGTAAAGTTATGGTACTTTTACTCTGACCATTTACACAAAAAAGTTTTATATTTATTTAATGACAACGAAAACAAGTCTAAGTCAGTTAATCTATGTTTACATGTTTTATGAGAATTATTGTACTCTCGGCTTACATTTTGTGAAACTGTGAATGCTATTGTTATAAGCCAGAAAGAAATATGGCATTAAATTAATAAGGGATTCTGATTTTTGACCCAGTTTTAAAATACGGAGGTGTTCCAATATGGTTGAGTGAAATCTCTTGACTATCCCATGTTCGTTAGGTGTATGAGGGGCAACCCTATGGTGATGGATTTTGTGAAGCCTTACAAATTCTGCAACAAGCTGATTAGTGAACTCAGTGCCGTTATCAGTAACTATGGTGATTGGAATACTATGGTGCGTGCAAAAATTAAGTAGTGCTTGAACTACGCTAATAGCAGTTCCGTCTCGCAAATGATAAGCCTGTGCGTATTTAGAAAACGAATCTACGATAGTCAGATATTTTTTATTCTGGATAGTTAGTAAATCTAAGTGGACTAATTCAAAGGGCTTTGTGGCAGGTGGAACCACTTTGAATTGCTGTTTTATGGGATTTCGATCATATTTCGCCTGTCCACAAATCGTAAATTCATTTATGAACTTAGTGATACTCTCACGCATTTTTGGCCAGTAATATTTGTGAGACAAAGCTAAAAATGTTTCGTTTATACTTCGGTGATTTGTCTTACCATCGTGTTAGCCGCTCATGCGATACATGCAGCCGTAGACGCATACCACACCTAGAGGTACCGGTGATGATTTTATACCGATTTATCGGATATCGAAGTTATAACAGGTAAAAGAACTAATCTTAATTGCTATTTCGGTAACTACTCTAGCAAACCATAAAGTTTTTAATGCCTGGGTCTGTCATTAAAAAAAATAAACTACTTCAAAAATACGTCACGACAATCGTGTGTGTTATTGTTTGGCCTGGTGATTTCGGTGTTTATTTATTGAAAACATACCTGAACCGCTCACGCGATGCGCTCTTCCTACCGCAAAATGGCTGCTATTTGGTTTCGCAAATTAGAAAAGCATTCACTTTAAATACAAGTTTTTATAAATAAAACTTATTATTCTGCATTGCTAAATAAATACCCTCCGTACTACCAACAAAAACATCTGAAATAAAATGCAGTAATACACCGCAAATCCTGCACTTAAAAAGCACTAATGAAATTTTTGGTGTACTTGGATAAATATGATAATATTCCGTTTGAGTGGTTCTAACGTTTACCATGAAATTACTCCTCAAAGTATAGTTTATAAACATTTATATTCAGGGTAAACTTAAAAAACGCTACTTACGGTTTGTTTTCAATAAATAAACACCGAAATCACCAGCCCAAACAATAACACACACGATTGTCGTGACGTATTTTTGAAGTTGTTTATTTTTTTAAATGACAGACCCAGGCATTAAAAACTTTATGGTTTGCTAGAGTAGTTACCGAAATAGCAATTAAAATTAGTTCTTTTACCTGTTATAACTTCGATATCCGATAAATCGGTATAAAATCATCACCGGCACCTCTAGGTGTGGTATGCGTCTACGGCTGCAGGTATCGCGTAAGCGGGTAAGTAGCGTTTTTTAAGTTTACCCTGAATATAAATGTTTATAAACCATACCTTAAGAAGTAGTTTCATGGTAAACGTTAGAACCACTCAAACGGAATATTATCTTATTTATCCAAAAATTTCATTAGTGCTTTATAAGTGCAGGATTTGCGGTGTATTACTGCATTTTATTGGAGATGTTTTTGTTAGTAGCACGGAGGGTATTTATTTAGCAATGCAGAATAATAATTTTTATTTATAAAAACTTGTATTTAAACTGAATGCTTTTCTAATTTGCGAAACCAAATAGCCGCCATTTTGTCACGTTCTCAACTACACTCGTAGTTAGTGTCAAGTTCATAGATGAATTTTTAAAAGTTCTTTGAATTATAGGAATAATTGTGTACAAAGCTAAGCGGAGATTAATTAACAAGCCGGTTTTGATCCTGAGATCAAAGAAGAAGTTGAGAAGAAGACGTCATTAACGCCATTAAAGAATACGTTCACCCTAAGGTGAACGTATTCTTTAATGGCGTTAATGACGTCTTCTTCCAAATTGGATTCCGACAATTGAATGGATATTCGTGTATGAGTTTCGAAAGGTTTAGTAAGCACCGGTCTAACCTTGATATCACCGACCACATTGAAAATTAATTGTTTAGTAAATCTATTTAATGGATTATCGGAAATTGGGATCTCTAAGATGGGATTTTCATTATCGATATGCACAGTAGCGGTCCTGGAGGCATCTTCCGCTTCTGTAACCGTGATAGTTCTAAAGTCATCTAAAGTAGGTGCCTTTTCAGATAAGTTAACTGCAATAGACATGAGCTCTTCGTTATTAAGTTCGATTCCTAAAAGCGCACCTGCATTGGTGTTGTGTTTACCCTGCTTATAAACGACTGTAAAGTCGTATTCGCTTGGTTCCTTAAGATTCATAACCTATTGCAATGGTTTATGGTCTGTGATAATTTTAAATTTACGGCCAAATAGGTACGGTCTAAAGTATTTAGTGGCCCAAACAATTGCTAGGAGCTCTTTTTCGATGGTACTGTAATTACACTCACTCGAATTAAGAGTCCTGGACGCATAGGCAATCGGTTTATCCCAGCCTACGGTGCCTTGGGATAACATAGCGCCTATAGCAACATTGAACGCGTCTGTAGGGAGTATGAACTCTTTTGAAAAATCAGGGTATAGTAAAATTGGATCCTTCGTTAAAAGAGTTTTGCAATGTTCGAAGCAGTTAACATATTTCTGATCTAAAATAATGTTTGAACCTTTTTTAAGGCACTGGGTTAGTGGTTTAGGCACTCGTGCGAAGTACGGAATGAATTTTCTATAGTAACCAAGCAGTCCGAGAAATCGTTTGATTTCAATAGGGGTTTTAGGCAACGGGTAATTTTGAATAGCATGGATTTTATTAGGGTTTGGTTTAACGCCTTCGTTACAGACAACATGTCCTAAAAACTCGGTTTCCAACTTCAAAAACTCGGATTTGTCCATCTGATTTTTAAAGTTCGATTCCCGTGGCCTTTTAAAGACCTTTTCTAAGTTCAAAATGTGCTCCTGAAGGGAGGTACTGAATACAATGATATCATCAAGATACACAAGACATACTTTATTCTAAAGATATTTAAGAACATTGTCCATCACGCGTTGGAATGTTGATGGAGAATTTCTGCGACCCATGGGCATCCTTAAAAATTCATAGTGCCCATTCTCTACATTAAAAGCGGTCTTGTGTATATCGTTTGGATCCATCTTAACCTGATAAAACCCACTAGCTAAATCGAGTGTTGTGAAATATTAACATTTACCAAGTTTATAAAGCACATCCGTAATATTCGCAATGGGGTACTTATCGTCAATCGTTTTCTCGTTGACTTTCCTGAGATCCACGACAAGACGCCATTAACCTTGCCTGAAGCATCTGGCTTTTTAGGTACAATCTAAATTGGAGAGCTCCACGCCGAGTCTGACGGTGTTATTATGTTCTGATCAAGCATCTTATTAATTCGATCCCTGACTTCTTGTCGATAGACATAAGGATATCTGTTTGTTTGTCATTTGAGACGGAAAGTTAGGTCTCCAACTTTGAAACGGTACAGACTGCATTGGTGGTTGTCGCGATGGACCAGGCATGTTAAAAATGGGTTGTTTCGTTGGTACACCAAAAGTTGTGGGTTTAGGTACAAAGTTATTAAGGGGTAAATTAATATTCTGTTGAGAAGGTGATTGCTCACAATCTTTCTTACTTGTGCTATTATCATAACGCTGCTGCATATACAAAGTATTAAGCTCTTCTTGGACAAACTCTAGAGCTTCTTCCATGGATGCAGGTCGCATGCAGCGTATCCTGGATCCTAGGGGATCTTTAAGGCCTCGCAAATAAGCTTGTAACGTAAGTGTTTGGTAAAGTTGGCGCTTCGCTTCTATTGTAGTTCTAAGAGTTTCATGTAAAGACATATACATCATAATCGTGCTAAATAAATTCTGGCATCGCTCATAAAATTCCTGCGAGGTGTGTGTGTCAATTTCATATCAACTGTATGAAAATAGAATATTCGCTTCTATTGTCGGTTGCTTGTATCCAACGCAGGCCACATGTATGGGCGGTGCCTAAGGCTCAATTTATATTGCGTCGGAATGGATTGGAAGCGAATTTTTGTAACGATATTGTACATAGCATAATGTAACTTGGTTAGTACGGGTAAGAAGGGAAAATTGACAATAACATCCATGTTTATTTTTCCCACAATGTTGCACTTGAAGTGTACAAAGTGTTACATAATAAATGAGTACATCAGAGTTAAGTCTGTCTCGGTTAAAGTATCGTACAATAAAAAGATAATACAAATTTAACATTCATCTCATACATATAAAAGCAAATATTAAATGGTTGTTTGCATGAGGATAACATAAATTCTTCAGACATTATTGACTTGACATGAATTTAAGAAATTTGAATGCTTTACGCATATGATGGTTTTTTCACTAATAATGAAACGTAAAATTAACAAATTGTATGCAAGTAGATCAATAGAGAGATTGATAAAACAATAGTTCGTAATAGACGCCCTTCTGCCGCCAAGCAATAATGTTAGTTACTGCGTTCTGGTTTGGAAGGGTAAGGGTACTGGTGAAGTTGACTTGGAGCACATGAGACTTGTCAACTTATGTCTTAGGGTGACGGGCGCACTGGTAATATTACTCAGATCTTTGCGATTAAAAACTCTGCAACTGTTATGGACAGGCTATATAGCGGTGTAGCTTACCATCAGGCGCACGACTTCTTGGTCTCGTCACTTGATATTACAAAAAACAAAATGTCGGACTGGTAATATATACGGAAAAACTTACTGCTATATAGTTATGTAGCTACAAATAATGATGGTTCCCTTTACAAATCCAATGTGGCGGACCGGTTTTACTCACAATTCTGATTTCCTATATCATCAAATAATCTTCTTAATCCTGTCGACAGACTTTGCTAATTATTCTATTTTATCTTTATCCCTGTTTATTAAGAGGCTACAATAAAGATAAAGAGACATGCGTAATCTATATAAATAAAACTGTTTATTTGTCAGTCGTCTCGTTTGCTAGACTCCTAACTCTTGTAATTCCCTCCATAGGATTACCCTTTTAAGGTAAAAAATAACTATACCCTTTTTAAAGTAAAATGTAAAAATAATTATTATTGATACGAATATCGAACGACACAAAGAGGACAAAGAAAAATTCCTTTCATTGTATGAATATCTAGGTAGTAATACATCATGATATTCGATAAATAAATAAAATAATATTTGTTTTCAGGACTTTAGGATCATTTCTCAATCTCCTTAAGTCTTCGCTTGGCTCTGGAGTGCTGGCTATGCCGGCTGCCTTCAAAGACACTGGCATTATACCGGGATGCATCGGAACTATTTTAGTTGGAATAATAGCTACACACTGCATTCATATATTGGTAAGTATACAGTTTGTTTTATATATCTCCGGTGTTTTGTAGAAAGGGCAAAAGCGCCATTTCCAAAAAAATGTAGAGGAGCATGTTTTAATTTTTCACAACCTTTTTAAAATATTTACGTAAAGGAAATGAAACTATTTTTCCGGATTTAAATCGCGTATATTTTTCAAACAAACCGACGTTTCGGTTGACAGTCAACCGTGACCATGGGACCTGTAATGGGCCCGAACCGTCGGTTTGTTTGTAAAAACATATATACGCGATTTAAATCCGGAAAAACAGTTTCATTTCCTATGTATAACAATCGCGAAAACCTAAGGACTCGATATATTTACGTAAATTCAATTTTAAAACTTGAACTTAATTATAACCAAAATTGAATTTTAAAATAAGACGTAAATATTTTAAAGCAGCCGTTGTGAAAAACTAAAACATGGTAACCATATTAGTATTTCGAAATGACATTTTCCAGAAATAACGTTTGCTTGAATTTTCATAACGTCGAAAGTAATTTTAAGAGGAAAATATTGTTTCTTTTAAACCTAACTTAAACTAATCTAACCGAACCTAATCGTATTTTTGCGATAATTTTATAAGGTTTATATTTATTATTTTATAATTATAGGTTTATATTTATAAGGCTTTCGGTGTAATTAAATTTCGAACAAACGGTATTTCGGAAAAAAAATTCGAGTTTGTGATAAGTTACCCAAAAACATGCTCCCCTGATATATTTCTTCGAAATGGCGCTTTCGCCCTTTCTACAAAAGACCGATGATATGTCGTTTCATAGAAATTAATTTATTTGCTCTAAATAGATGACTGTACCTAATTGCCTCTTCTTTTCATACGATACTTAATACTACTGGAGACGTCGCTATATTTGAAAATAAAATTCTCCTAATTGATGCAAAGATCGAACATACCCAAAGGAAAATTCATTCAATCCTGGACTTAAACCAGGAACGTTTATTCGCTTAACAGCTCGCGTTATCCGAAAACGTCGCTCTCGTGAGTGCCGTTAAAACCAAAAATAAATATCTGTAGCAAGCACATAGAGAAATTCAGTCATTGATAATAACATAGAGTATCACACAATGCTTTTCTTTACAGTTTTATTTGATAATATCAATTAAATAGAAGTAAAAAGATATTACATTGAAATTAAATTCTACTGCTTTACGAGTTTTATACGTCACAGTGAAATTAAAATCAAATAATTGTTAATTCTATATAATTCTATAGGTAACATTTTTGCACTTGAAAATGTAATTTTTTTAAAGCCACTGCTCGTTTACTACGCTGAAAAGAACGAGCAAGAAACTCTAGGAATTACTCTTTTAAAATAAACTCAAATGCTATGGAATATACTTTGAATCATAATTGTGGGCATCTATTCTCATGTTATCTATCTTTCCAAACATCTTTATCTAACACAAAGAAGAAGAGTACCTACTCTTCAATTTTGTAATCTGACTTTACAGTTAAAATACTTTTAATGTAAGTTTTAGACTTAGGAAATGATAATCTTAATATATTCTCCTGTTTCTTGTTTCCCAAGAATCGTTTACTTTGGTTAAACGACATCGTGGTGCAATGAGTTTGGACTTAGTTCTAGGGTTAATATTATGGATATCTTCTTTCTTAATGAAATTATGTATATTTTTACGGACATACAAAATATTTGAGTAAATGTACTGTAATGCCACAGTCATGACACCAGTCTCCTTAAAGTTTTCTCTGAGAGAAACCCGAGTACCTAAACGTTACACAGATGGAATCGTTCGTGGATTTTATAAGTGCCAGTGTCCTCCTCAGGGAAACCAGACACGTGCTATCACACCATACGTTCGTTCATTCATTAATACGACTAAATTTTCCAGGTACAGACGTCAAGAGACGTTTGCAAGGAAACTCAGGAACCGTCACTAAGTTACTCGGACACGTGTGAAAAGGTTTTTAAACATGGACCAAAGTGGACGAGACCATGGTCTACTTTTTTCAAGTATGTTATGATATTAAAAAGTACAAAGGGTCGATGCGACGTATCATAGATATGCAATATCTTAAATTTAATACAGTCAATTCTCTCTTCACTTTGGGGTAGGTACAGTTATTAAAGATTATTCTTTGAGTAATGCAGAATAATGATAAGGAGGCGATACATTACGACATCCACTCTTTAGTCAAAAAGCAGTTTCTTTGTGGGGTAACAATTAATGCTACATAAATTAGCAATGTAATTAGATTTATACTCATTGGAAAGATGCTTCCCAAATGCGTTTAGTTTGTTGTGCGTTTTCTGATTGCTGTGAGTGTTGTTGGTGTTGTGTACGTGTGATATTTCACATACAAATGACACAGGTTTATGAAATGTATGGTAAGGTCAAAATCGAAAATACCTACACTATAATACATACCTAGGCTCAACTCACACCGGCACAGAGTCGAAGCATCGTGTCGCATCCTGTTTTTCAACTACAACCGTCGCGCGACGACAACCGCAGTTCTGAGACTTTATATAAAAGTAACGGGACTTACTCGCGTAGTATTTTAATCGGAAGCGGTCCGACTAGTTGCGACCATAATCGATGGTCTTCTTCAGGGGTTGAGTGCAACGTTCGCGACCGCGTCACGACTAGCACTGTGCGCTGCGGTTCTCTGATGACGCAGTCCGCAGTGGGGAATTCGGGAGGCTGATACGTTGCGTCAGCGCGTCCTGGAACTCTTCTTCGCTACTGCTGTCCGTAGAATTGTTGTCGGGAACAGTCCAGCACACAGAGCTCACCACATCGTTACCACTAACATCTGCAGCTGCATACCGAGCGCCGTGAAGACACGGCTTCCAGGTCGATGTCGAGGTTGGAGCTTGCTATCGACCTGGAAGCCGTGTCGGACCGCTTCCGACTTAAATACTACGCGAGTAAGTCCCGTTACTTTTATATTATAATGTGTGATAACCGTGTTAGTTTTCATAATACAACAGTTCAGAGACTTTTGAACATTCGCGAATGGCGCTCGTGCTCGACAGTATACAATGGGTGATATCGATCTTATTATAATTGCTCTTATATCTGAAGCTGAAGAGGAAGAAACTGAAATTATATCAGAAGCTGAAGGGAGAAAAAGAAAGAAAGAAAAGACGTATACTTGGCGAATTCAAAACACTTTGCAGTAACAAGTATTTAAGCCGAGACTCAGGATATTTTTATCATTATTATTCTAAATAGACCTTCATATTTTTGGGTTAAGTAAATTAATGTTTCGTCTTCATCCATTGTCGCGCACTCGTCTCGTCGCAGTTCGGCACTGTGCTGTGTCTGGTGTGGTGGGCGTCAGACGCGTCGCTGCGCGCGATTCCATATTTGCGTAACATAAATTTGTACCTTAATAATAGGAAAATAGAGATGAATATGCTATAGGCGAAAAACATGACGCGTCGCGACGCTTCGACTCTGCACCAGTGAGAGTTGAGCCGTCATCTCACTAATGACACCAGGCATTCACTACGAGGAAAAAAGAGCCTAAGTACGCGATCATAGAGATGAAAACAAGGTTGCTCGCCGTGTGCAGTCGTGCGGAACTGGAAGTCTCAGCCCTTGCATGCGCATTACAATTATTTATTTAGTAAAACGATGAGAGAACGACTGCCTCTCAATTGGAGGTCGACGCTTAGATTCCCGGTCGGACTAATTTTCGAAATGAACTTTATTAAATTTGCTTTGGTTTGGGTGTTTTGGGTTGACCCCAAGTGAAATTATTTACTCTAGTACTCATAGTAAAGGGAATTCTCTAGTTTGAGACCACCTGGTCTAACGTTACTGGCGTGGTTGTATGGCACTTTGACCCAATAAGTTGTATTATTATTATTCTTGATGAATATTATCATGAGTTTATGTATTATTCTTGATGGTTATGAGATTAGTCCATTTAACGTAACAAGGCAATAAAACTCCATGAATAAAAAAATCCTTGACCTAGCTTAGGTACCGATAATAAAAAGTAGGTACAATAAAAATAAAGTAGAACGACATAACATAGTAAGAAATGAAATATTTCATCGTTTGCTTGAATCTCGTTTACATAAAATAATCGAAAATAAGTTTGTATTTTCTTACATTAGGCATGATTTTAAATATTTAAATATCGCAAAATTCGTTGATCACAACTCATGTACTCGATGATCCCAACCAACCAACTTAAATTTTTAGGAAGCACACACATATCACAAAATTAACACTTAGGCACCTTTCTTCGTCTTTCGGTAATAAAAAAAATATAATTTGTTGTCATTATTCCTACTTCTACCCCCATCCACTGAACTATAATGACGCGATTTCGACATTGCAACGATTTTTTACGAAACGTGCCTTACGACCATTCAGATCTGCTTGCGACACTCTCTACGCGCTTGCGTCGACATCGGCGTACTCAGCGGTAGGGCACTTATCGCTTAATCTTGAGCGAGTTTTTTTCCCAGGGAAAATCCATTATGGTTAGCACTCGACCCAGGGGGATTGAGTGGTTATGTCCGACTCCCACCGACTAAAACCCCTGGAGTGTTCCTCATGACGCAGACTTTGGGCCCCGGGAGACGCGATTGCTCACTTCCGCAACCTCGCCTGCAGTTGCCCTTGCCTGCGGGCGCCCTCCATTGGAGTTGGCGACGCCAATCCATTCTCCGCTTTAGATACCCCGAAATACCAGGGACACCTTCCAGCACGGGACCCCTAATTGTAGACATTCTTCGTCTGGTCTCCCTTAGGACGGCAGGCGGTTAAAGTCAACTAACCGCCGACCCCGTCGCCTGCCGGATTGGAAGCGAGTTGATGTCAACTTTCCGCTTCCCCTCTGCCGCTTTCTTCAACACCATAACGTTACCATTGAAGATAGCGAATCGCCTTGTAGGCCTCTTCGCTTTCACCAAAGCTAGTAGCGGTAGGTCTGCTCCATCAATCGCTAACAGCGTGACGCGAGGCTCCACCCAAGATGGGCACTCTGTGCGTGTTTGTTGCACGGTGTTCGCGATACCTCCATAATGGTGGCATAACGTTGATGGCTCCCTACCTAGCACTTCGCACAGGAATTTGCCGAAGCATCCGTGCCCAGTAAGGAGATGAGTCAGGTGGTACGTCGGTACTGTAGTCTAGGCTCTACTCTATGAGTAGAACTACTGGCTGAATGAATATAGATTTGTATTTGGAATGTGTTTAAAAAAAATAGTATAAAAAATAAGAACACCTTGGCAGATCTAGAAGTAGCCTAAATAAGTGAATATGTGAAAAACACAATAAATATCTAATTTTGAAGATAATCCCAGTTTATATTTATAAAGTACCTCTCGCTACGCGACCTGAGCTACTCCCTAGGCTACAGTACTCTATGTTTACAATCTACCCATTCTTTAAGGATAGGCAGTATTGCGGCCACCAGTTTCCGGCTAGCTCCTGGGACTTCCACTCGCTCTCTCCACTTCCGGAGGAAAGTAACGGAGCCCTGCCTTAACTTATAATCTTTCAATGTGTGCGTGATTTTATGTATCTTTTGATTACTTCTTTAATCCCTCAGTCGATAAAACAGACAAAGAAATTAGTTTAAACAATTTTAAAGAGATGTCGCTACGATGCTCCAAATATTTCATTCCATAAAAATGTTTTGCCTTTGACTTCCTTCGGGTCGGGGATGAAAAGTACCCTTACCGATAGCTCAGAATATCAATTATTGAAAAATAATTCATTGCTCCATAGAACGCTTAGCAAGATCTTAAATAATAGGGATAAGAGGAACACCGAGGGAAGAGGGTTTTGAAGAATTAAATTAAAATCTAAAGAGTTTAGCACTATAGGCTCTCAGTCGACAAAATAGACAAAAAAAAATAGTTTTAACTGTTCTAAACAGATGCTCCAAATGCAAAAGGCCGAAGAAACAACATACAGCTGTGAAATCTTGAAACACGAGGTATACATTACCTCTTTTTTTGTCTCATCACTTTTCAGTTCATCTATAAACGTTTGACATAATCCTAATGGAATTCTATTTAATGACATTCATCCTTGGTACATCCATGTACCCAAAACCTTCTTTACTTCGTTTGCTTCCTCTTCCGCCTTTTTAAAAAGTAATACATTATTAAAATTTCTTCTTCATCCATTTCACACGGGTTGGAACACACACTACTAGCTTCTAAAAGAACATAGAAGCGACTGCAGTGCATCAAACGACTCTGTCGTGCAAACGACAAAGCGGCTGCCGTGAAACAATAAATTGTCGTCACGATCTAGTGTGGACAGCTAGACACGACAGTCATTCAACGATAAAATAATCGTCAACGACACAGTCACGACAGATAGTCGTGATATGGGAACAGGCTAGACGTGATAGTCATTCAATGATAAATAAAACGTTACGACATGGGAACGCACCCTAAATCTGTTTATTTTCATTTCTGTGCTCGCTTCTAAGTTTCAACATACTCACTGTTAAAGTTTGTCTTTGAGTACGTCAAAAATGACATGCAGAACATTATAAACTCTTTGTAAACTACAAACTTGTATACCTCTATATACGTTTATACTTAGCTAACCTTCTAAAACTTACGTTCTAATTTTACTAGATTATCATAAATGGAATAACTGTAAAATAGGTTCGGAAAGAATAGTCGATCAAAAGGAACAATAAAGTCCAGAGAACATGTAATACACGGAAGAAAAAAAACGATACAAGGGCCTTATGCCACTTAAGTCTCGCCTACTATCAGAACCGCTGTCGCCAAAACTCACACAGTCATACTTTAAAAACTATGAAATACTTGGTAATGATTGGTCGTAATTTTTTATATTAAAAGATGTAACAAATTCCAGATTTTTAATATAATTTAAACTTTACCCAGTTGGTTATCTTTGAAAGTTTAATACCTATTATCGCAAGTTACGACGTTTGCAATTTACATTGAATTTTCATTCAATGTGATGCCATCTAGCGGCAATAGCTGAAAGACTATAAGACGTCGTACGATTAACATTCTCCAAAAAAAAAAGTCGATCATATTGCAGCGGTATAAGGCTTAGGTACTTGCGTTTCTTATAACAATAAATCTGTTACGATAAATAGATAATGGAAAAATTGTTAAAATTAAATAAAATATAACTTAACGATAATATGAAACACCACTGTCGATAATATACAGATGCGACTATAATGTTTGCACTCCAAAATAGCAAAATAAGGCATTTCTGCACGGTTTTCGAGGGTTTGCGTGAGGTAATTGACACGACCATAACGTATAAAGCGAAGATGGCGGGCTGAGCTCAAGTATGTGGAACTCCGCTTACTGTTGGCCCACTAAGCACTTCTACTGTATTTATTGTTCTGTGGTGTAATGGCTGCTTTTGTGTTTTTTTATTGTTTCACCTGTATTAAGTACCGACGTCAGGTCATAGATTTGCTCATGGTGCAGGATCGGGTTACTTTGGTCGTTTCTTCCACTTTATGCTCCAGGATGCGAACCAGAAACGCAAGGTTATTACCAATTAAGCGTATTGGAGTATTACAAGAAATTACAAGGGTCCTCTGAGCTTCCGACGTAAGTTATTATATTATAGGCTTACGTCAATGATATTAAATACTATACAATACTAATCAAGGCAATCACTTACGGTCTATGATTTTACCGATCACGTCGCACGAGCTCGCACCTGCGCATCAAGGGATGACGCTCGTCCCTGGTAACGTAGACGCGTCCGTAGCAGTACATGGGTTAATACGTGGCGGAAAATGAGCGGAGCCAGTGTGTGGCTGTTGCTGGTCGTCAGCTGTGCGAGGAAATCAGAAAAATCACGGAACGTGTGAGCCCGCTTTAGGTCTATAATTTTAAAATGAACATTTTTCAGGCATTTCGCTGATTTTGCAATGGTGGCCGTTTGTCTTGGCGGCACGGCGGTTTACGTTGTGTTCATCGCTTCGTCTTTAAAAGATGTAAGTATACTAACTAATCTCATGAATATTCTACTGTGGCATCAGTCCGTCGCAAGCGATTGCGTAATTACTGTGATATAACCATACCTAATGCGTTTTAGGAGCTCACAGCCTTATTTCAGCTAGGGACATTTAATCAGCACCTGGTATGTTTAAACAGGAGCAAGTCCCGGCAGTTTCAAATATTGAATAGGCAGTATAAATGGCGAAAATGGTTTGAGATACAATATAGGTACGTCAGTTAGAATTAGGAAGTAGTGCCACCTTACCTATTTTTGCAGCCAAGCAATGATGTGAGCATTATTGCGTTCCGCCTTTGATGGGTAAGGGTGCTGGTGAAATTAAATTACTTGTCAACTTATGTCACAAGGTGACATGCGCAGTGGTAGTGCCCCTCAGGTTTTCTCTCTGAGTGATTTACGAACCACTATGAACAGGCGTGTCGCTTACCACCAGGCGCACGACTTGTTCGTCCATCCAATTAGTATCATAAAATAATCTCAGTACAGAGTACCTACTAAAAAAACCGACCTCAAAAGTTGGTGGAATTACATCTATTTGCCAAGTTTTATTGAAATCGGTTATCGTAAACTCGCGCAACACCGGATTCATCCCGGCTTCGGTCTAGGTTTGGTGTACGGGACTTAACAGGACATAATAAAATTCGGTTCTCACTGCTTAAAGTACATATTATATTGAGAGAGAAAAACGCCTTGAATTGGAGAATAGCAAAATCAACAATTAAAAAAATAATTACTCCCTAAAATACAATTTAATCGCTATTTATAAAAATGAATCTTCATGCGTGAACAGCCACCCTTAGAGGTGGATGATTTTCATCAATATGAAATGGGACCACTATGGAGATACCATCTTTCCAGCAAAAAAGAATCATGAAAATCGGTTCACAAATACCGGAGTTATCGCGTAACATACATACAAAAAAACATACAGTGGAATTGAAAACTTCCTCCTTTTTTCAAGTCGGTTAAAAAGATCGTGGGCATAATTTAGGACATTACGGTCAACTTTGCCTGCATATCATGACACTGTTTACGAGCAAATGTGATGAAAAATAAATAAATAAATAAGGCACACACTCATAACCCTGTACTAGGGAAACTTTGTATCGCGTGTGCCATGGACACACACATAGACAACCACAAATTATCCAAACTGATATGAAACCAAGGAATAGATGTAGGCCATACAAATATTCCTCCTGGCCCGGGAAGCGAACCCGTCCTGCCAGCGCGGCAGACCAGCATGATAACCGTTCAGCCACAGAAGCTGTTTTATTTCACTGTGAAGTGTTTCTACAAACCAAATGAATACAGTGACAGGTACAGTTGATGATCTAAGATACCTAACTCCCTTGCCGATCTTTTGGTTCTGAGTCTTCTTACGCATTTAACAGAAAAGTGTAAAGGAATTCCAGTTTTTCGGTTGAAACCAGTTGAAACCTGCATTTATGTATCAAGTTGGCTGAAAAGTTTCTTAAAACGTCATTCACTAATGATGCAATTAAGATGTCATACTGAAATGAATTTTTCGGCTCACAGCTTAAATAATAAGTTTGTTTAATACTTTTTTTGACACTATCTACTCAGAACCACATAGTCTGTTAGTGGTTAAGTATCTTAGGGCATTGACTGTACCAGGAAATTAAAACGTCACAGTGAATGGAAATGAATATTTTTTTATTTAAATAGTCAGCCATGACCATGGGACCTATAAAACGCAGGCCACACCGCGAACGAAGCTAGCTAACTTAGCTCATGTAGTTGCATGCAACTACAGTGTGGCCTTCGCTTTAAAGGCAGATAACAAGTATATCCTATTAAGATCCTTAAGAACTCGATAATCATTGATGTTATTCTCTTTCTTGCAGATTTTTGATCACTTCTACCCCGAACAGGAGTATGATGTAAAAATCTACTGCGCAATGCTCCTCATTCCACTTATATTGATTGCCCAAGTGCGGTACTTAAAGTTCTTAGTACCATTCTCGGTTGTGGCCAATGTGTGTTTCATGATCACTTTCGGTATTACCTGTTTTTACACTTTCACTGGAGTAGATAACCATATGGATACGAAATTGGTGACCGACGTTTCACAATGGCCTTTGTTTCTAAGGTAAGCTATCAAGTGCATTTATACTAGGGCTATAAATTGAAAAAGAAAAAAATCGAGACTCGGTGCTGGAAAACGATACTGTCGACGCTGTTTCAAAAGTATGTTTCCTTACTTATAGGCCTAGCATTTAAGCGCAGGCCACACCGCGAACGAAGCTAACTTAACTTAGCTCACGTAGTTTCATGCAACCAACAATGCCAGACAAGCTAACTTAGCTCACGTAGTTGCATTCAAAGCTAAGCTAAGAAAATACGTAGTAAATAATGAACACAGAACAATAATTACAGTTGAAGTGGTTAGTGTCGCATGCGCGCCAACAGTGGGCCTCGTTAGACCTACTTGAGCTCAGTCCGCCATTTTGGCTTTGTACTAAAATAGTAGAAAAATGCCTTATTGTGCTGTTTTGGAGTGCAAAAATGATTGCCGCATCAAAAATATTACCCGTGATGGTATTTCATATTATCCGCAAGTCTTATTTTAATAAATTTTATTAGGGTAAAGCATTGACTTACATATAAGTCAATGGGGTAAAGTTTAAATTAAATTAACAATCCAGAATTTGTTAATCCAGAAATACGAACAATCATTATCAAGATTTGAGTGATGTGAAAGGCGACATAATTTACATGGCTAGCGGGATCATTAGATCATTCGTTAAGTTAGCTCGGTTAGCTTAGTTCGCGGTGTGAACCGAAATATGGAAAGATGCCCCGGCTACGTAAGCTAAGCGAATTTCGCAATGTGACCTGCGCATTAGGCACTCAGTATATTATTTTAATTAGTTCTATCATATAATTTTTGAGTTTATTATTAATGTCACGATTACTCCTCCTTAGTTTGTTATAATTATTAATACAAAGATTTGGAAAAAAATTCTTCGATCCGTCTGGATCCGAATCGAGTCTGCCAGTAAACCGTGCCAAGTTCTTTATTCATTCATATAGTAGCAGTAGAGCTTCTTATCGATGAGTTTGTCCAAAGAGGTACTGCCATCTTACAATTTCTGCCCCAAAGCAGTAATGCGAGCATGCCCAGCGACCTGTACCCAGAAGGCAACTCGAAATTAGGTTCTTTTCACACACACGCTTCATGTATTATGTTTTATGGTTCAATCACATCGAAAACGCTATTTGACTTGGCATAGAGGTCGGTGTATATTCAGGATTAAAATACGGGTTATACTGTAGGGAAATAGTTCTGGAATTTCAGAATTATTCATCCCGCAAAAGCGATGTTTGAGAATTCTCGCAAATATTGAACAAACTGGTTCATTTATAGACTTCGACGACCCCACCGAATAAACGTGATAAAGAAAAACGTTTACAGGAGCGATTAAAAACTAAAAACAATTGGACATTTGAAAAAATTAAGCAGAAATTACCGTTATACAAAATACGTCGAAAAATCATAAATAATTAGAGGATATTACGGTTTTCTTGCGGTTCCAAAGATAAATTTGTTTTTCATACTAAAAAATTAAATTGAATAAAATATTTAAGTTAATCAAATAATGCAGTTTTTGGGTATTCATTCTATAGTTTGGTAATCTTTCTTTCTTTTCGCGAAGAAGGATTTAAAAATGTTCAGTAACAAAATCATACAAAAAATTACGTACCATAGTCAATTTCTAAAATTAGGCGAAAAAATTTAAATTAATTGTTTTTTTAAAGATTCCCAAGAATAATAATACAAAGTTAAGTTGTTTTAAACATGCAAAAGTAAAAAGTGTGCCAAATACATACTTGCAATATTCGTGCGAGATTGTTAATTTTATTTTTACGTATAAACATTGAAATACCGATTAGTTATAAAATTAATTGAAAAATAAATATGGAAAAACAATTATAAGATGTATTTTGAGAGGAAAAACCCAAAAATACAAAAAAAAAACGTAAAAGTGTTTACATGTTTACTAGGTGGGGCCGATATTTAAAACTCAGTTCATAATTACTACGTGAGGCGCACTATAAGTTACCAGAATGAATAAGAAAAAAATACTATAAATGGTCAGAAATTAATTTATTGTTTCTCAAAATATTCTCCGTTAGCGTTAATGCACTTTTTCATACGAATGAACCAATTTTGAAAACATTTATGCCACTTCTCCGTGACAATCTCTGAAACATATTTTTCATACTCTTCGACAGCCTCTTCAGGCGATGAAAATCGTTGACCGCGTAACTGGTTCTTAATTTTTGGAAATAAATAAAAGTCACAAGATGCAAGGTGGTCGGGACTGTACGCGGGTTGGCTCATAAGGTCAACGTTGTTCACCTTCAAAAATTCATTTGTCTGTCTGGCCGTGTAAGAACTGGCATTATCGTGGTGCAAGATGATACGGCGTTTACGGTTACTTTTACGGAGTTTGTCAATAACTTCCGGCAAATAAATGATCGTGTACCAATCACTATTCACGGTACAACGTTTTTCCAAAGCAACAGCAGCCACGTGTCCAGTTTTATTAAAAAAAGAAGCAATCATCCGCTTAGAGGCATTTTGCACGCGCTCCACGTTGGTTGGTTTCTGCACATCTCGAAAGACCTATACGCTCGATTGCTGCTTTGTTTTGTGATCGTAATTATAAATCTATATTTCGTTACCTGTTACTATGTCCCACACCAAATTTGACGCCCCTTCGTTGAATCTGGTAAGCATGGCATTGGACCAAGTGACACGATCCGTTTTTTGAGCCTCAGTCAAATTATGTGGGATCCACCGAGAGCACAGCTTTTTCACACCCAAATATTTGTGTAGTATTGATTGTATTTGACACATACCTATGTCTAAAGATGCCCGAATCTCATGGTACCTATGTCACATGCCTGTCTGTTTTGATCATACGGCGCACAGTATCGATGTTTTTGTAGTTCACAGCAGTTTATGGGCGACCATCACGAAATTCATTACTGTGATTCACACGACCGCGTTTGAATTCTACAAACAGGCTATAAATAGTCGTCTTGCATGGTGCTTCATCGCCAAAAGCAGTCTGAAGCCGAGCGAAGCTCCGCTGAATTGTTAACGAACACTTAAATTTGTAGAAAATCATACTACGAAAATTTTCACGCGTGATGCCACGACGTGAAAACAAGTGACAGTCAGATGAAACAAACTGTATTCTACAGCCAAAGAGTTCCATTTTCAAATGTTGCAATTAATTTTTAAATATTGTTTATGTAAGTGGCGAGTTCCGGAACATTATAGTGCGCCCTATATATAAATACAGTTTCTTTACCTTTATAATTTCAAAAGCATAAAATGCATCAATTTTATTTTGATATGCATAAAATATATCACAGGCGTCTAAAATGCAAAGTTATACCTGTTTGTTTTACCCGCTTTTCCGCCACGTGCACATAAACTATCGGCCATTTCCATTTACATCTATTAAACTATATTCCGTGTGTGACTACGCTTGCATTCGGTCGAGTTTCGGAAATATTCCCTTCCTGTCGAAAGTCCTAGAAAAGCTTGTTCTTGTTGGTTGTGTGAACAACCTTTTCGATCCTCTCCAGTCTGGTTTCCGCATTGGTCATAGTACGACTACTGCACTCACGAAAATCACTGATGGCATCTGTTTGGGTACGGAAAATCAACAATTGGCTGTGCTGACACTTTTTGACTTCAGTAATGCCTTCAATGGTGTTGACTTTGACCTATTATTGGAAGTATTGCGTACTCTTAACATATCTTCAGCAGTCATTGATTGGTTTCGAAGCTACCTCTGTGGACGTCGGCAGTGTGTTCGTAATGAGAAATCTTTCTCTACGTGGTGCGATATTCCCGCCGGAGTTCCACAGGGTGGCGTCCTTTCTCCTCTCTTATTTTCTTTGTTATTAACTCTATCACACAATCCCTCACTTCTTCTTATCATCTTTATGCTGATGACCTCCAGCTTTACACCCAGTCATCTATTCAAGACTTACCACGTGCTATTAATACTACCAATGTAGACCTTGAATCCATTCATCAATGGAGTCAGTCCGTTGGCTTTAAAGTTAACCCATCCAAAACGCAATCGATTATTATAGGTAGCAGTTGGTTCAATTCTCGTTTAAATCTAGATTCCTTACCCCCGGTGGTTTTCGATGGTGTCTGTATTCCTTATTTGGATACAGTCAGGAATTTGGGGGTAATTTTTGATAAATGTCTGACTTGGAAGCCGCACGTGCTGAGGTTAGCAGGAAGGTGTTTGTTGCGCATTTGAATCTGAGAGGGCTTAAAAACTTTTTGCCGACTAAAACTAAAATTACTCTGGCCCAGAGCATTCTCCACCCGATACTGGACTATGCAGATGTTTGCTACCCGGATTTGTCAGTGACTCTGCTCTATAAATTGGAACGGCTCCAAAACATGTGTGTTATGTTCATCGTAAATTTGACCATGTCTCCCAATTTCGCGCACAACTTAAATCGCTGCCCGTCCATCGGCGTAGAGATCTTCATATCCTTTCACTTCTCTATTCAATTCTATTCTATCTCTTTACGCCTTCTTATCTTAAAGATATTAGAGGATGATATGCGTTACTTTCCACTCTTCTACACTCTGCCGTCCCCTTCGCTCCTCTGATACTCTCATACTAAACTTGTCCTCTCATACCTCTAACTTTTATTCCAACTCTTTTACCATTTCAGCGATCAGATTGTGGAATTCTCTCCCTGAATCGATTCGACGATCCCCTTCTCTCGATTCCTTCAAACGACGTGTCAAGAATCACTTCCTCAACTCTTAAATTTCGTCAGTCCTCTACTATCCTTTCATTTATTTCCTACATTTATACATCATTTTACTTTTTCCTTAAAAAGTATATAAGCATTTATTATTGTTGTGTATTTATTGTTATGTATACATTAATATTATTATTATTTGTATGTTATGTATATCTATCTACGGATATGTATATACTTTTATTATTACTTATTATGTAGTGCACGTATGATGATATTCTTTGGTTGCACCCCTTTTTGCATATCCGGAAGTCTATCCTAAGGTTGCCTGGAAGAAATTGTTACATAGCAATAAGGTCACCTGTTGCACATTAACTTACTACTACTATTATACTTAAGCTATTGTATTGTATTTTAATTGTAATTTTATGTGCAATAAAGAATATTTCATTCATTCATTCATTATTCACGTTTTAATTTTGGTATTTTGTTTTGTTACTTTGGGTGTTGATTTGTTTTATTAATTTGTTATTTTGTTTTGTCCGTCGATATTTTATTCACTGTATCCTTATTTGTTGTTAAACGAAGATAAGACATGAAATCAGTCAGTGGCAGGACCATCTAGGTACTGGTAAATCGAGTAAATGTCGTCGTCGTATTGACCACAACATCGACAAAACAGGAGCAAGAGAAGTGGACGGTAATGGATTTTCATACTTACTTTGCAGGCCTTGGTCGCGAAGAAGTCGCACGGTCCATAAATGATGTGCCAAATTTTACGTGTTCATTTTTGGAAAGTAATGCAAACATTTCCAAGCATGTTTGAGAAAATTAAATTGTTATTACGTTAAAAAAATTAAGGCAAAATATTTAATCAATATGTTTCCTTACTATCAAACTATTTAAATGTTTACAATCCCCGAGGTCTATTATACGTCAATGTGACCTCTACCACGAAACGTCAACGATAATATTTTTGCACGTTACTAGGAACATTGGAGAGTATCGTTTTCACAAGCGACGTATATAGTGGTAGGGAGGGATGATTGATCGACATTGCCATGCTATTTGGCACAAACTATAGTAGTAAGTGTTATTAGTTAACATCATAATTTAAGTTTTCTACGATTGTTTAATTGTTTTAGAGGTTTGTTTTTATTTATAGAATAAGTACCCTCTACCCTTCTTTGCTATACTCTTACGGAGTATCTTATAAGGAAGACCTATACATAATCAGGTGCGCTACGAGTAACATACTTTATTTTGAGTCAAATGTTATTATTATAATTTTTTATTTTTTATTTACACATAAAAAAATCATACAAAACATGTTTTAATGCAATGTAAAATAAAGTCGTTTTCCCGTACATTGCTAAATTCGTCGGCGTTATTCTGGCTGCGCTTGTATAAGTTTGTGTGTGTGTGTGTAACTGGCTTGGTCGTGTTAATAGACTGTGGGATGTGTTGAGGATGGCGCGCCGTCGAATGATAGGACAATTTTATTATTTGTTTGTGTGTGAATGAAACTGGTTAATAGGTTAAATAGGATGTTCTTTTTCTACTAGGTTAGTTTAAATATTTTGTTTATATTATGTCAGCATTTTAAACAAGTTTGTAAAAAGAAAGCTTAATTTATAACATTAAATTAATACATAATATATTAATTTATAATATAATTAATACAGATATTATATTTGCATACCTACATATAATTATCTCAAAAATAATTTCAAATTACTTTTAGTTCATTTTTTCAGGGAAATGTTCTTTTAGTTTGTTTTTAATATTTTGGCGATTCAGTTCTTGTTTGAGGGAGGATATCTTGTAGATAAGTTGGTTATAACCGTATTGATTTTGACAATTAATTGGGTAAGGCGAGCCTCAGTTGTGTATTACTTCTGATTGAGACTGCCTCTGTGGCCGAACGGGTACCATGCCGGACTGCCACGCAGAGGTCCTAGGTTCGATTCCCGGGCCGGGAGAAATATTTGTATGGCCTACATTTATTTCTCTCGTGAGTTTGGGTGTAATTTGTGGTTGTCTATGTGTGTGTCCATAGCACCCGCGATACAGGGATTCCCTAGTGCGGGGCTATGTTGAGTGTGTGCGTTGTTATTATATGTATATATTATTATTATTACTACATTGGGTTTTTCTTAATTTTTTGTGTCTATAAATCTGTGTTAAAGAATTGTTCTACTAAGAGGGTATACTTTACTTTTTCATGTATCGGTACTATTCTAAAAAACGCAAATAGTCCGGTGTAATTTTCCTTATATTTTTCTTTTATTTTTGGTGGTACGATTTTTTTCAGGATTCTTACTTGTAATTCGTATATATGGTCAAGATGAGACTTATATGTTCGTCAGTAGCTGCTTATGCCGTATCCTATAATACATTCTCCAAGTGTTTATACTTAGTCTTGTTTGAAACGGATTTTATTTTTGAGTATTGAAAATTTTGCCAAAATTGCGCGTAGCCTATCACATAAAACTTGGATATGGGGAATCCATTCCATCTTATCATCAATTAGTAGCCCGAGATATATTTGCTTATCGACTACTTCTAAAGGAGGGCAGTTACATGCTGTTTGTCTGTCTGAGTGCGTACAACAATGTGTGTGAGCAATTAACTTCAGATCCCTCTCTAATGATTTAATCTATTGAGTAGATTGAAGTCATTTTTAGTCGGTCAAGTGCGGATTTGATATCAGTATCTGCTCTTAAAAGACGGGTGTCGTCGGCAAATTGGAATATTTCGCACTTTGAAATAAGATTTGGCAGGCTATTGACATAGGTCAAAAAAAAAAGGCTATTGACATAGGTCAAAAATAAAAAAGGCTATTGACATAGGTCAAATAGTGCAATGGTCCTAGTACAGAACCTTGCGCTGTCCGTCAGTAACAGTCACCTGATCACTGAGAGATTCGCCAATTTTGGTATATTATGAACGATTTTGGAGATAGTCCTTGCACCACTTTAGCCAAAGGACCTATTCTAGGAAGACTAGATAAACTGTTATAAGAATTTTCAAATACGCTAAACTTTGTTTATCAGCTTTACATGTTTTAACAATCATGACTAAATTCAGTATTCACGGTGTATTTGCTGAAAACGTGCAAATTGTGCCAATGTTTCTTTTCCACCAGTAGATGAAGTACGATGAACAGCTCGATATCTGTTTCTGTATTTCTTGTATTTCTTACAAAGGTAATGTATACCTCGTATTCTCAAAATTTCACAATTGTCATATTTGTTTATTCCGCCTTTTGTATTTGGAGCATCGTAGCGACATCTCTTTAAAATTGTTTAAACTAATTTGTTTGTCTATTTTATTCAGCACAGCAATCTTCGCAATGGAAGGTATTAACGTAGTGATGCCCGTTGAGAACGAGATGTCGAACCCGGAACACTTCCTTGGCTGCCCCGGTGTGCTAAGCACAACTATGATCTTGGTGGTCCTGTTGTATGGAGCCGTTGGGCTATTTGGATATTTGAAATATGGTGAAAGCGTCCTTGGAAGCATCACTTTGAACTTGCCAGGAGATGAACCGTGAGTATTGTTTACCACAAAAAAAATCATTTATCATTATTATAGTTTAATTATTGAGCATTAGCTATAAAGTTATCAGCTTCAACAGGAAACAAATAATTAAGAGAATTTAAAACGTAATATAAAATTTAAACTAAATTTATTTGTGTGAAAACTGTAACTACAAGAGGTTGCTACTTTTGTTTTCTAAAATCACCATTTAATAAAAAAGATTGACAAGAATGCTTCATTTGAGTACTAGTAAAATTGGTCGTTCTTCGGGAGAGGCTTAGGCGTCTAAGCTATGGCTTTATGCTATTTAATAATTATAACTCTGGCAGTATACTGCCAGTGTTTCTTTTTTGTTTTTTTTTTTATTTTAATTTTTCTTCAATTATATTTAATACGTTTTCTATAACACTTTTTCGGCGATTTAAGTGAATCTCAAAACAAACCAATATATTTCTTGGTGTGTGTCGTCATTGGACTCTCAAATAGTACTTAACACCCTTCAATCATAACAAATAAAAATAATAATGAAATCGATGTTTATTACATAAGACAGATTTTGTAACCGGTTTAAATACATCTTTTAATTTAGAACATGAACTAACAAACCGAGTTCTTGATTGTTACAATGATGAAAATATTTTTTTTTTTTTGTAAATTCATATCTATTGTGAAAAGTATGTAGCGTAAATTGGAATGTTCTCTAGTAAATTAAAAATAAAGTAATCCCATGAAAAACTTTTCTTGTAAAATAATTAGGGCGCATTTAACCTCCTATTCACCTGATGGAAAATGACAATAAGATCGACGATGCAAACCTAAAGAATACCAATATAAGTATGCACGCTATAGACAACGACCAAGTTGCTATAATATGCTTGTTGTTCGGGACATAAGTTTACAGAAATTTCACTCCTTAGAACGGTTACAAACGGCGATTTAAAGGCGACTGTATCGATACAAACGCGCAATTGCATCAAATCCCAAGTATAGCGAGCTATGCAATCGCGCATCTGTATCGATGCAGTCGCGCGCTTCCATCGCGTTTGCATCGCTGCTAAAAGTCACCGTGTGTAACCGCCCTTAGCCGTTCGCCGTATAGTGAGGAATAGGGTTGGTAGTTTGTATTAATATTACCCATAGCTGATTAATGGACTTTACCAATTCAGACAACCATGGGACCGGTAAAGGGCTCGAAGCGTTAGTTTGCTTGAAAAAACAAATATACGCGATCTAGTTCCAGAGTATTTCATTTCCTATATGGACTGATAATTTATCGTTCATAGATTTACGACTACGTTAAATTCGCGTCTCGTCCGCCATGGCCGTCACGAACATAATTCTGCCTTACGCTTTGCCGTCGCGACGCCATGGTCACAGATTACTTAACAGTTACTACGTAACGTATAGATAACTCTCACACAAAATTCAAAACGCAAACGTTATAATAGCCTCTAAATCTGACTAATGACGTAAGACGTTCACCAAGAGGAAAAAGGAACCTAAGCAGGCGCTCAGAGAGGTGAAATACGTTGCCCGTCGTGTGCAGTCGTGCGGAATTTGAATGCGCTAAGGTTGTAATGTAAATGAAAGACTTGTGAGACTTTGAAATTATGATTATTTATTTAGTAATAGGTAATTATTATAATGTACATATAATAGAGTAATTTTTTTTATTTATTTTTTTTTTATTGTGACTCGGCAAAATGACTGCACCGCGCCTGATGGAAAGTGCGAATACAGTCCAGAGATGAGAGTAACGGATGGAAAACACAAATATCTTCACTCCGTCACTATCATTTTGCCGGTCTGGCCAAATGCTTCTTCACACTACGTTTGAAGGACCCGATGTTATAGAGGGGAGGGAATACATGCGCCGGGAGTTGGTTCCACAATTTGATGGTTCGGCATAAGAACGAATTGCCAAACTTTTTAGTGCGGGACGGTATTGAACTGACCGTCCAACTGTGGCAACGCAGTCCGGCACGGGTGGTCCGCTGATGGAAAGGAGAGGAAGGGATAAGGTTGAATAACTCTTCAGAGCACTCACCGTGGTACAGGCGATAGAATACGCTAAGAGACGCTATATCTCTGCGAAGCTGTAACGACTCCGCATGCTCAGTTACATGAGGATCGTTGACAACACGGAAGGCGTAGCGCTGCAGTCCATCTAGGGCATCGAGCAAGTACTTGGCAGAGCCGTCCCAAAGGTGCGAACAGTACTCCATGCTGCTTTGATTTAATTTGAAATTAGCATTATTTATGTTTTTTATTTTTATGTTGGGAGAATGTACCTATAACTTTTAAGTTATGTACATTTATGAAAGTTTAGTCCCACTAGGTACCTTTCGCTAATGATTTTAATATATAATAAAATAATCATTATCTATAGAATAATTTATGTAATAGAATAAATCTTTGCCTTTCAATCATTGACTTACAATTAAATGGACGACGGGTCTAATACAAAAACCACGAAAAAAATGTCCCAAGTCAACCTATTTAAACGTAGTGACAAGTAAAGGAATATGAAAAAGCTAAAACGTTGAATTTAAATTGTAATGTCATCGCAGTACTGCCTAATTTTGCTTGCTTCGCTGTCAATCGAACAAACGAAGACTAAAGCGTGAATGACGCTCTGTATACGATTTTAACGCCCTGTAAGGTCGGACACTTTTTAGCGCGGACCCGACGTCCATATAATTGTAAGTCAATGCTTTCAATAATGAAAAAAATTATTATTTATTGTCATTATTCCTACTTCTACTCCCATTCACTGACAATAATGACGCAATTTCAACATTGCAGCGGTTTTTTTACGAAACGTACCGTACGACCATTCAGTAGTGCGCGCGACACTCTCTGAGCGCTTGCGCCGACGTCGGTGCACTCAACGGTAGGCACTTATCCCGTAACTTTGAGCGAATTACGGATCCCTGTCATGGTGGTGAACGAAGTCACTGATGTTCAGGCAAAATCTCGACTTTAACGAGGTCACTATTTGTCATGTTTCCAACAGCCATAACCGACTAATACTGTTTACTGCTAAGTGTAGTATGTTCGGTCGTTGGTATATTAATATGTACGGCATAATTGTCATCTGAGGTTTAAATGTTTATTAATTGTTATTTCTATATATTGGGTAAGGTACCTCTTATTTATAAAGTAATAGTTGGTGCCTGCGACTTTGTTTGCGTAGAATAAGCACTGTATTAAAAAATAAAATAAAAACTGTACTACTTGCTTGAAAAATGTTTTTTGTAGATTTTAGCTTCGTCGTAGGTTTCAACTTTCGTGAAATGGGTTGACCCCCTTTAATATTTATTTTTGTGATAAAAATAGCCTTTATCCTTGTCTTAAGGGTACGTTCCCATTAAGTAACAGTCGTTCAAGGATAAAAAAGTCCACGATACGGTCACGACAGGCAGTCGTGATACGAAACAGGCTAAAAGCGTCCAACGATAAATAAAACATTACGACATAATGGAAACGCGCCCCGAGTCCCATCTATCTGTACACCAAAATTCATCAAATTTGGTTTAGCGGTTTAGGCGTGAACAGACAGACAGACAGACTTATATTCACATTTAGAATTATGTTTTGGATAATCGGAAAGTAACCCATCTCTGCGTGCTACGGAATATCCAGCGGCGAATTCTTGCCAGGTGAAGCCTGAACAGTAGCAATTTGCTGAGACTTTCACTTTTTCTTCGACGTATATTTAAGCAATTGTTTTATTAAAAAATAAAGTATGTTTATTGTTAAATACCAAAAGCAAAAAGAAAAATCAACAAAACCGGTATTATATCGTTCCGAAGCGAGCTAAATTCGTGTAAATTCAGGAACCGGAACCTAAACCGTTATCGTTTTGTTCAGGATAATTTAACTCAGAAATGTTACCCATTGTAAGTTAAAAATAAATTTGATGAATTTATTCCAACGAAATGCAATTCAATAGCAATAAAGGAAATTTAACCGTATTTTAAGCCTACCGACAGAATGACTGCATGTTTGCAGTTAATTCGTGAAGTCGTAATCAACTTCATGCAGCCGATACCTCGATTGCGTGAAATTGATAACGACTTCACGCATTAATTGCATTCATTCGATCTCGGCTGCATGAAGTCGGTTTCTACTGCATGAAGTTGATTACGACTTCAACTGGCAACATGCAGTCAATCTATTAGCAACCGGTATAATCCGGATAGAAATCTTCAATTCATTAAACACCAAATCAGGAGTAACATATTGAAACAACAAGTTTAGTGGCGTCGCGTTCCCAACATGTACGTTACTAGGTCCACCTAGTGCACAATTTGATTCTATAGAAAATTATTACAATACGATATTTTACTCTCCAATTTTTCAGTCTTAGAGCATAAGCTCATGACATGAAGTGTCGCTTACCATCAGGCGCAGGAATTGTTCATCCCGTCACTTAATACCATAAAAAAAAAGTTTTTGTTTTAATGGCATTCCTAACGTACTCGTGACGTAACACATTCTTGATGAATATCTGATCGTCGTCTAAAAATAGCCTTCTTCTTTTTATCGTGTCGATACTTCTTTTATTTTAGGGCTATATTGACCCTGAATAGTACGTTGCTGCCTCGACTGCGGTGTCCGTGGGCGCGTAGAGATCTTCCCTCGTACAGGTATTAGGACACAAGGGGCACAACAGTAAGCGCTGCATGGACAGTGTTGGGGCCTCGCAGTCACATTGGGTTAGACTAGTATAACTGAAATCCCATTTACACATCATGTCTCTGCAGCGCCCTACCTGCGTGCGAAGACGATTTAAGGACTTCCACACGGATCACCGCAGAGCGCAACCTGGTGGTAGTTGCTCTTGAGTTGTGATGAATCCAGGTGGTGTTTAAGGTTCTGCAGCTTTTTTTTATATTATCAGGTGACGGGACGAATAGGTCGTGCGCCTGATGGTAAGCTATACGCCTATTCATAACAGTTGCAGTCAGAGCTTTATATCGCAAAGATCTGAGGGGCACTGCCAC